GTGTTAAAAATATGTAGTAAAATTCGATGTACATAACTTTTTTGTTATCTGCTTGATGTAAATATGGGCTGAAATGATACTACAGAATTGGATGTCACTGTGAAAGCACAGAAAACCGATCGCACTCTGTATCTGAGCCACGATACAACTGTCTTGTCACGACCATAGAAATGGCAATAAAACCAAATGATTTTATTACTTCCATCTGTTTTATGATAACAGGGTTGCTAAAATTTTTCAAGTGTTACCAACAGAAATGAATTTATAATGCAGAACAACTCTGTGAAGAATTGGGAAATTATTGTTGCAGTACGTATTAAAATTAAAAAAATGAAAAAAATGTAGAATTCTTTGTATAAAAATTTTCAAATCTTTCGTTATTATATGCGACAAAGTTTTCTTTGCTGGTACAAACAAAGTTAATTCCATCCATTTATCATAAAAATTTTGTTAGATAAAGAATTTTTAAACACAATGCTTAAAATTGTTTAAGAGCCCTAACAGGAACGGACATTAAACGCAGAGTAACAACGGACATTTAAACGTGTACTAGCAGCGGGAATTTAGATAAACTCCGGCCAGCTCAAGCTTACTATCATTTCAAAAGTCCGGCGTTTAAAGGTTAAATGCCCGACTGGCCAAAACGGTGTACTATGGTCACGACTATACTAATCACTGGCACAAACGGGGCACATCGAACGTGAAAGGTTAATATTACATCATATTCGTTTTAACCTTAACTAATTATATACAATTCATTGACGTTCAAGCATATTCCCTACTACTCTATGTGCTAAAATGTAAATTCTTACGAATATTCAACCGCTATCACGCATAGTTACTACTAACCATATATATTACCATATACAAATTAAGACAAAGTGACTGGCCAACCCACAATCGTAAAATGATTTTGAAACGAAGCAAGAGGTGAAGAGGAATTTTGTAGAAACGAAGCGGTGGGGTATGTGGAAGACGAAGTCGAATGGTTGTCATAACCATGGTGGGCCTTTCTTAAGGCACTGGAGTATGGTTTAGAAGTTGCGTGGTTCGAAGTTGTGACTATTTTTCTGAAAGAAACAATGTAAGAAATTTGTGGCTGTAGGAGGTAAGTGGTACTATGTGAGGAAGGCGAAGGTAACAAATTTGTATAGATCCGGTGGTACATAGGTAAGACATTGGGGTAGTATTGTGAAGGTACCAGGTTTGAGACCACTGTGTCTTTTGTCAATAGAAATTGAAAAGTGAATAAATAAATACGATTTTTCTGCAGCTATAAACCAAGTCGTAGCATATGAGGAGGATCGCAGAAAGTTGTAGCATAGATGTTCTGGTGGCCTATGGGTAAAGCACCGACGTTGTAAATAAAAGGTCCGTGGTTCGAAAACGCAAGAGTTTTTGTAATGAGATTTTTATGGAATTATATAGCGAGATGTAACATAAGAGGAAGGTTAAAAGTTAAAATCTTCCGTGGCATTGATGGCCTATTGGTAAAATACCGGCGTAGTGTGTAGACGTTCCGAAGTTCGGAACCAGCGAAAGTTTTATAAAATACAAATTTAGTTAATAAGATTTTTCTGTAATCACAACAACAGACGTAACATAAGAGGAAGATTGAAGAGAAGAAATCTTCGTGGCACGGATGGTCTAAGGGTAAGACACCGGCGTAGTAAAGACGATTTCGAAGGTTCGAAACCAAGTATAGTTTTGTGATTTAGAA